GCTAAGGAAAAACGCCGTATGAACATTCGAGAGTTGTTAAATTTCCCTGAATAAAACATTTATTTTTGACGAAATTTAAGCATATTTTTCCTTAAAATTCTCAGATATTTTAGATTTAATTGCGTATAATATTGTCTAAAATTTTTGGAACAAAATATACACAATTTTCGCAGTAAATTCAGTTTTTATCAAAAGAAATTTGGCAACGTCTGAAGGTTCATACGGCGTTTTTCCTTAGCACGGCAGGATAGTAGGAGCAAATTGATTCCCGGAATCCCTCAAGTGCTCCGCGGGACGCGACTCCCAAAGTCCCAACTTTTGATCCGGAAAGATTCACTAGGGCAAGGCTGAACCAGGCGCCTTTTTTCCTGGAATCGTCCCCGGCACTGTTGCCAAATGATGCTACAAAATCACCACTTATCCCCGTTTAACCCCGCATTTTACCGCACATTGTGGTGACCCGAGACAACTTTCCGCCGCCGTTTTCTTCATCTCTTTCGAAACCGGGCCGGCTCCAAAAAAGTGGGGCGAACTTCTAATCGAGTGCTCTCGGCCTAATAATATTCCTCAAATCGTCCTTCCCGAGAAATAGAGGGCCGAATTCTGCCGTACTACGGAAGAACGCCGTGTAAACATTCGAGAGTTGCCAAATTTCCTCCGATAAAATGTTTATTTTTGAGGAGAGTTATGAATATTTTTTCTTGACATTTTCAGAAGTTTTAGATCAAATTCCAAACAAAATTATCTGAGAAATTGGAAGAAAAAAATTGACAAATTTTCTTGAAAACTAATGTTTTGTTAAATGAAATGTGGCAACGCCTGAAGGTTCATACGGCGTTTTTCCTTAGCACGGCCGAATTGTTGCGTCTAGTTTTCGGGCTCGTCTTCCGCCACGTGGCTTAGCCCGTCGAGAGAGCCCTTTCAAATGTTATCTGGAGTTTCGAGTTCCTTTGGATTTGATAAATTCCTGGTGCTTTTCTTTCGAGGCCTTTGAAAGAGAAAATAATTGATGTTTTCGAGAGTGGGCCTGCAGCAAACTTCAGCTTGAGCAAAATGGAGATGTTGCATGTGTGAGGGATTTGCGATTCGACCGTTGAATCTTATGAAAAAGTTCGCGAGAAACACGATGGTGCCACTGGTTTTCTCTGAAATCATCTCCCACGCTCAAGAAAAGCTCTCAAAGTGAGGCCAAAATGGAGGGGATATCCCGCCCTACCCTGAGAGTCCACCTCTACATCAAAACAAACTCTCCATGCAAAGATAGAGAGCAAACACATTGGCAGGGTGCCGTGTTTTCAGTTTTGGAGTCCTCAAATAAAGTGGCAGCCCTGTCAACGTATTTGCCCCCTATCTTTGCATGGAGAGTTTGTCTTGACGTAGACGTGGACTCTCAGGGTAGGGTGGGATATCCCCTCCATTTTGGCCTCAACTTGAGAGCTTTTTCTGAGCTTGGGAGTTGATTTCAGAGAAAACCAGTGGCACCATCGTGCTTCTCGCGAACTTTTACATAAGAAACAACAGTCAAATCGCAAATTACTCACACATGCAACATCTCCATTGATGTTTTCGAGAATGGGCCTGTAGCAAACTTCAGCTCGAGCAAAATTAAGAGTTACTTCTAAAAGATGCTGCGTTGCATGGAAAAAAATAATATGTTGTTTCAGCATCTAGGATGTCAAAAATGTGTATGGTGATCCCAAGATGATGCCTTTACTGCCCCCGCAGTTACTTTAACATCCTGTGAATGCAAATTCAATGGACCGCTAGATAAAACACGAATTTAAGGATTCTGATATATGTTTTTAAACTAGAATTTCACGTAGAACACGATAGGTATTAGGCGATTAGGTGTCGCAGAGCGCCAGAGAGCGCTGTGAAAGCGACTCGTATGTATGTAGCTTGAAAAATAGCATATTTCTTCCTTAGATTGTGAAATTAGACGTGTAGACTTATTCAATGCGCTTATCGTGATTTTTGAGCCATTTTCACAAGAAAGACTCTTCTTTATCCCCTAGCTGAAGTTTGCAATAGGCCTATTGTGGTAACAATTATTTCAGTTCGCGCAACATTGCAACTGCTGTTGGAATCAAAAGTACATTGTGACAAAGAAGTACTATATAAAGACAAAATGATTCAAGGGCTGAGTTCTAGAATGGCACCACCTAGATTTTTGGGAGGTACTAAGCTTTAATTAAGCCTCGTCGACACAAGCGCGGTTCCAGGAATTTCACGCAAATATGTTCGAGGAACTTGTTATAACTCACCTATAACTTGTTCCTGGAACCTGAAGTTCGCGGGACGAAATTCGTCCGAACTGCGCTCGTGTAGGCAAGTCCTTTGAATCGCAGGACTAAACCTTTTCCCCCTGAATGTGCACACTTAGATCGAGTTTACAGTCCGGTAGCTGCTAAAAATAACTTAACAAAACGGTCGCGAAAACATTGCCGAAACATTAATTTTGGCAGTGAGGATACAACGTTTTCGCAACCACTTTTCGTCGAGCAGACGAGGTTACATCCAGATTGCTTGAATGTAAAACACTGTCATAAGACTCAATATCCGAGTTACAGTTCTACACGTATTTTCATATTCAAAATGTGCTGTAGAAAATGAGTGTGTGTGTCAAAAAATGTGTACTTCAAGATTGTGAATATTGGTTTAATTTTACTGAAAAAAAATTCCGGCTATGGAAGCTGAACTTGCGGGCTATACTGCCGTGTTAAGGAAGAACGCCGTATGAACATTCGACAGTTGCCAAATTTCCCTGGATAAAACATGTATTTTTGACTAAATTCATGCAAGTTTTTCCTTGAAATTTTCAGATATTTCAGATTAAATTGCGTACAAAATTGCCTGAAAATTTTGGAAAATAATATTCGCAATTTTCCCAGTGAATTCGGTATTCATCGGAGAAAACGTGGCAACGTCTGAAGGTTCATACGGCGTTCTCCCTTACACTGGAAAAAAAAAAAAACCCACATTGGATCTAGAGTCTAGACTCTTAAAAACATTGCCAAGAAAAAGGACTCTTGATTCAAGCAGATTTAAGCTTAAATCAAAAGGAAATCCGCTCAAATTAGAGGCTTGGTTCTTGATTTATTAAGCTTAAATCTGATTGAATCAAGAGTATTTTTTCTTGTCGATGTTTTTAAGAGTCTGGACTCTAGATCCGATGTGGTTTTTTTCCAGTGTAGCACGGTAGTGTATAGACATACCATCCGCGAGGCCGAAAGTTCCGGGCATAGCATCCGGAGCAATCCATACTACGGCTTCAGCACCCGAAACTTTAGGCACATGAGCCCGGAACGAACGGTATGTATATGTAGCCCGTAGATTTGTTTTCAGGGTATAGTTAATGCAGCCTCTTGGAAGTTCCAAGGAAATGTTTCGAGAGACTAAATCATGCTTCGAGCATGACTCCGACACATTACGATCTCATTAAGCTTGGAATATTCTGTCATGAGTCTTAGTACAATGGACCGGTGAACAAAGCACTGAATTAAAGCGCCTCTTTATTTCCAAATCCAACGTGCAACTCCTTCTAAACTGTAGACTCTAAATGTGCCTCCTTGCCTGAAAAAGTCTTTATCTTCTTCAGATGATTCTATCCCTGAAATCCTCTTGTATTTACGATCATCACTCATAAGTCGTTTCAACAAAGAAGTAATGGATTTTCGCATGTAAATAAATAGGAACCCTACAAAGCAGCCCTTCAAGACAACACTGCGATGCAAGATCTATAAACCACATAGAAAGCAAATTCTTCAAGTTCTCAAATGCACAACAATCACTGCACTGTTTTCTAGCCTATCTGAAAAATTGAAGGGAAAATATCCGACTATGTGCATTATCGAGTTGGAAGAATGTGTTCAGAATTTTGCCTTCATTAGTCATTATCATATTCAAATTATTTTATCCCTGAAATTTTTTTGTAATCACACTCCATGCTCTTATGTTGTTTCAACAAAGAGACGATCGATTGCGAAAAATCGCATGTAATCAGGTGCAAACCCTGCAAAGCAACCCTCCGAGACGATTCACTATTATGCAAGATTTGTAGATAACAGATTATTGTACAAATCTTTGCACGGAGGCCGTATTATGGCCTTTCGGAAATATTGAAGGCGTTGGGCAAAAAAATGTTTTAGAGCGTGTGCTTTGAATTGTTCAATAATGAAATTTCGCATGTAAATAAATCAGAACCCTGCAAAGCAACCCTTCAAGACAATACTGCGATGCAAGATCTATTTAAACAACATAGAAAGCAAATGCTTCAATCCTCGAATAGACAACAACCACTGCGTGGAGGCTGCTGTATAGCCTATCTGAAAAATTGAAGGCGAAATATCCAAAGAAATGCAATATCGAGTTAAGGGAGTGTGTTTTGCATTGTTACCTTTCCGAGGCGAGAGAGTCATATTTAATAGAGTCGTTTAAAAACGAATTTTCGTATGTAAATAAATAAGAACCCTGCAAGACAATACTGCTATGCAAGATCTATAAACAACATAGTAAGCGAATCCTTCGAATCCTCGAATAGACAACCAGCACTGCACGAAGGCTGCTGTACTGCCTATCCGAAAAATCGAAGGCGAAATTTCCAAAGATACGCATTTTCGAGTTGGGAGAGCGTGTTTTGAATCGTTACCTTTCCGAGACGAGATAGTCGTTATCATGTTCAGATTACATTATCCCTGAAATTCTTCTGTATTTACTCTCAACGCTCATCCGTCTTTTCAACTAAGAAGCGTTAAATTTTGGAATTTTGCATGTGAACAGGCAGGAATCATGCAAAGCAATCCTTCCAGACAATACTGCGATGCAAGATCTATAAACAACATAGGAAGCGAATCCTTCGAATCCTCGAATAGACAACCAGCACTGCACGAAGGCTGCTGTATAGCCTATCCGAAAAACTGAAGGCGAAATTTCCAAATATATGCGAGTTCGGGGATATATGCGTGTATTCCGAGTTGGGAGAGCGTGTTTTGAATCGTTACCTTTCCGAGACGAGGGAGTCGTTATCCTTATCGGCCCGCCTTGAGGAACAAACGTTGCCCATGGTGACACTCTTCCGACACTTCACCGATCACCGCACTTCATCTTCACTCGGTGGCCGCCAAAAGCTACTCGGCGGGCCGCCGGCGGGGCCCACGGACGAGGGAACGCGCACGGGGCTCCCGACACATCCGGGACGGGAAAACGCGGGGACCTGACTCCTCACTGGGCTGGCTATCGCGGACGAGAGACGGGACGATCGATGCCGAGCTGCACCCCACGCCACGCCACGGCCGATCTGGGACTGAGCTCCCGAGCGCGAACCCGGGTTTGCCGTCGGCGCCGCTGGGGGCGCGGCGGGCGCCCGCGCAGGGCCGCCAACCCGGGAAAATTCCAACTTTCGCGGCCGGGCAGAGCTTCCAGCTTTCGGCGCTCTTGAGAGGAGATCAAATTGGAGACTTGCTTATACACGATTGGGACTGATCTGCCGTGATAGCGAAGAGAGCCGTAAGTGCAAAATTTTCGAAATCGAGTTTTCTTCAAAATTCGTCTAAACTCTTTTAGCTGAAATTACTGAGACAGCGAAAACAGCAAAATTCATCCTAATTTAATGAAAACGAGACGCATGTAAAAGCTGTAAGTGCACAAAAAATTACACAGTTTTTTTTTCAAGACAGCCGTAGGTGCATGACAGCCAATGAAAACAGTGCTTTCAAAAGAAATGCCGCCCTCATCTGCCGATTTTTAACCTGAAAATGTGTTTGTTGTGTGTCCAAAACGCAACCACGAAAGCATGCGGAGGATAGCACTTACAGCTGTCTTGCCTGACAATAACCTAGCATGAAAATGAAAAATACCCTTTTTATGTAATTGAAATAAAATCAGTCGATTTTTAATAATCCATATACGATTTCTAGGAGTCTTCCGGACGATTAGTGGTAATTTGACCAAGAACGGAGGCTTCTTTCAATAAAATGATCTTGTCAGAAGCTTCTGAGCCCGTTTTCTCAAAACTTCATTATTGCACTTACGGCTCTCTTCGCTATCACGGCAGTGTGGACCGAGTCAATTAGAGAGGTCGGACATAACGTTTTTGACTAAAACTGGAAATTTTAATGTTTATTTTGTCACGTTTTAAATTTGAAGGGGTGCTTAAGAGAGAAAATTGCACGAGGAAACCAATGAAACCGTTTTTAGAACCTCAAAATGTTGTATTGGCGGAGTTATAAGTGTTTAAAGTTTCCAAATTTTGTCCGACCTCTCCTATGGACTCGATCCACTGTGCGCCGGGGCAGAGCTTCCAGCTTTCGGTGCTCTTGAGAGGGGAACAAGCTTGAAACTTGCTTATCCGCGATTGGGACTGATGGTGTCGTGGTTATTCGGAAATCGCGGATATTCCAATACTGGGAATCACGAATGTAATAGGGAAACTTCTATCTTTCGCGGCAGGGCAAAGCTTTCAGCTTTCGTTGCTGTTGTGAAGGGAACAAGTTGGAGACTTGCTTATCCACAATTGGGACTGATGGTGTCGCGGTTATTCAGAAATCGCGGATATTGCTGTGCTAAGAATCACGGATCTAACAGGGAAACTTCCAACTTTCGTGGCGGGGCAGAGCTTACAGCTTTCGGTGCTCATGAGAGGGGAACAAGTTGGAGACTTGCTTATCCACGATTGGGGTTGATGGTGTCGCGGTTGTTCGGAAATCGCGGATATTCCAATACCGAGAATCACGGACCTAACAGGGAAACTTCCAACTTTCGTGGCGGGGCAGAGCTGCCAGCTTTCGGTGCTGTGGAGAGGGGGACAAGTCAGACACTTGCTTATCCACGATTGGGACAGATCTGCCGTGCTAAGGAAGAACGCCGTATGAGCCCTCAGACGTTGCCATGTTTCCTACGATAAAAACCGACTTTACTGGGAAAGATTACGAACATCATTTTCCAAAATTTCCCGACAATTCTGTACGCGATTTAATCTAAGATATCTGAAAATTTCAGGGAAAAATACGCATGAATGTTGTCAAAAATACATGTTTTATCAAGGAGAATTTGGGAACTCTCGAACGTGAATACGGCTTTTCTTCTTAGCACGGCAGAGATGGCGTCGTTCGGAAATCTCGGATTTTCCATTGGTGAGAATTGCGGATCCAGCAACCCCCCCCCCCCCCCCCCCCCCGCCCCCTTCAAAATGCGTTTAAGCTCCGCATTCATCACAGCTTTCGGTGTAATTAAGAAGAGAAGAAGTTGGATGCATGCTTCTCCGCGATTGGGACTGACGGTATCGCGGTTATCCGGAAATCGTGGATCTTGCAATGGTGAGAATCACGGATCGCCCCTCTCTCCTTCGTGCGTTTAAGCTCCGTATTCATTCCAGATTTCGGTGTTGCAGTAGAAAAGAGAATAAGTTGGAGATTTCCTTATCCGCGATTGGGAATGCTGGTATCGCGGTTATTCGGAAATCGCAGGGAGAGCCAGGGCTTTCATGGGAACATGCACTGACATCTCTTTTGCACCGGTCGGAATGGAACGAATCTTGTACAGTGATGAAACGCCTTCAAGAAGGAGATAGGCAATCAAACATAACTTCCGCGCGCGAATAGTTGCTGAAATAAAAACTATCGTACCTCGTCCCTCAATTTTCAGTAGTTCCAGCAGCTTGATCACTGACTTTATGTCCGCACGACAATGCATTGAAAATTGATATGGACCGCGTTATGCAACAAGAAATTTAAGTAGGCGATTGAATTTTTTGCATGAAAACGGTTGTGTGAATTTTTTTGCAAGATTCAGTAAACCGGTAACCAGAACCGGTATTTTTGAATATCTTTCATGAATTTCTGGAATTTCATGAAATATTTCACGTGAAATTTCCAAATTTTATATTTCATGAAATTTTGCCACCCTGTGACTAGTGACAAAATGCTTGCTAGGAACTTAAGTGATTAGACCTTGTCAGTCTTACGTGTTGAAATTCCAATTTCTTCGATTCCCCGTAAAAGTTTCTACGGCAAATAGATGATCAGCCCTCCCCAGAACTGTTAAAAGTATAATTAACCATTTATTGGAGCCCATGAAAATAGCTTTCCGATAAGAGCCAAGCTCAGAGTCCGGATCCGTATTGGCGATTTGTCGTTTCCTCACGAAGGAACGTAACTCCATTTCAATGTTGCCAAATATCCCCCTCGCAAATTGCATATTAACCGAGAGGATATTGGGCATTCGTAACTGAAAACGTCACTGATTTTTCCTCAATTTCCATGCAAAAATCAGAAAAAGATTGGGAAAAAATTTCACGTGTTCATTTAATCAAAATATTACAATTGTCCGAGTCAAGTTGGCAACTTTGGAATGGAGTTACGTTTCTTCGTCCGAGAAACGACGAACTATGCCACAACGTTAGACCACAGGTCCGCCTTCGGGAGCAGTGGCGTGGCGTGATTTGTGATATATCGATTGATGTGTCTTTTAAACCTATGGAAAAGGATCGATGAATAGGGTGTTCGCAGCGAACACCTTAATAATCGATTCTTTACCACAGCTTCAAATGGGGAAATATCGATAGTCGATCATTCAGGCCTCGTCACTGTTCGGAAGAGAGACGGCTGTGCGAACTATTCTGCCGCGCTAAGGCAGAACGCCGTATGAACTTTCAGGCGTTGCCAAATTTCCTTTGATAAAACACAAATTTCCTGGTAAACTTATGAATATCATCCTTCCATTTTTTCAGATAATTTTGTTCGCAATTTCACCAGAAGTCCCTGAAAATTTCAAGAATATTCATATCTTTCCTCAAAAATAAACATTTTAGTGAAGGAAATGTGGCAACTCTCGAATGTTCATACGGCGTTCTTCCTTGGCACGCAGTATTATTGCAGGAATTGAGGAGTCACTAAGGGCACGACAAACTTTTTTCTTCTTTTTATTACTCCAAAATATTACTTAAGACTATAGGACTATAATACTTAATCTAGTTACTTGCATTTACAATTAAAATCATTCAAATACTAAACACTGGAATAATGCTGAGACCTAGGGACGCATGAAACTGCAGGGTGTTCATGATGATACAACCAATGTTTCAGAGCAGTCACGTGTCACAATAGGGACAGCTCATCAGTAACCACTCCGTTCAGTGTTAGTTAAAACATTATGATGAAAATAATCGGAGAGGGTAGTTTGTTTGGACTTCTGATGGACAAGCGACGACAGTATCGATGTCGAGCCAGCGAACGCAGTCTCACAGTCGCCAGCAATTGATTGGATGGACGATATAAGATTGGCAGAATCTGCGGGAAAATCCTCCGTCAAATCGTTCAGGTCGTCAACCCTGATGATCTGGACTCGGAATCGATTCAAGCCTGAAAAGATAACCGATGCAAAATTGGTCAGGCATCAGCGGAGGGAAAAAAATGGACAGATTGGAAAAATTTGGTAAAAAGTGCAAATTTAAGTGTTCTGATACACATTTCTGAAACAGAATTTCACGTAGAACAGGATTCTTGTGGTGAAAATTACTGAAATCAGCTAATGGACCACTAGACAAGGTACGAATTTAAGCGATCTGATACATGTTCCTTAACCAGAACTTCACGTAGAACAAGATTCACACAACGAAAATTACTGAAACTAACTCCTAAAGAAGATATTAACGTTTTCCTTTCAAATTGGTTACGAGGAATTTGAACTGCCCGCTCACAAGAAACTGAAAGCTCTACGTGAGTCAAATCGCGCACTACAACGGTTTCAGCAAGCTTCTCAATCGAGCAATGTTCATTTCCCACCGTGTGTTGTTCAAATTATTAGCAATTTGCTGTAACTGAGCCAAAGCGTCAAGATTGAGGTTGCCAGATTTTTATATCGCAGAGACTGTCATGATAACGTTTAGCGCGCGATGTGAATCACGTAGACGTAGAGCATTGAGTTTTCATGAGCGGGTGGTTTGAATTCACGCATGAAGAATCATTAAATATCTTCGCAAGGAGTTAATTTCGGTAATTTTCGCTGCATGCATCATGTTTTACGTAAAATTTTGGTTAAGAAACATGTATCAGAATGCTGAAAATCGTACCTTATCTAGTGGTCCATTGTTTGGATGAACGGTGAAAGATTGGCAGAATCTGCGAGAAAATCCTCCGTCACATCGTTCAGGTCGTCAGCCCTAATGATCTGGATTCGGAACCGATTCGTGCCTGAAAAGATAACCGATGCAAAGTCGGTCAGGCACTAGGGTGGGAAAAAAATTGGACTAGACAAAGTGCGAATTTAAGCATTCGCATACACATTTCTAAAA